TAAATATCTATTTATATATATATTATTAAATTAATATATCTATTATTGAAATTTAACATAAATTTATTAATAATACATCATAATATTACAATATTTAATTCATATTCTATCCAATACAAATTAATATATATATATATTAAATTCATTTTTTACAAAATATTTTTTTTAAAATAATTCCCTTTCATAATATTTCAAGACAATTATATTAATATCATCTTCATTATATATTTTAATCCATAGTATAAATCCTTCAATGCCAAATGCTATTGTTTTGTCCGATTTTCATCAATAAATCTGTATCCAATCAATAATATAAATAAATTAATTCAATAATAATCGTATTGGGCGGCCCAAAATTAAGAAATTTCCGGGGCCCGAACAGTAGTAGCAATAATAATAGAAGTAATACTAAAAATAGAAATAGTAATAATAATAATCGCAATGGTAGTGGTTATGTATTTGTGATTATTTTTGAATTTCTATGTTACGTGGTTATATTTTTATCGTTATAGTTGTAAATTAGTATTGCGTAATTGTAATTAAGATTATATATTTGTGATTAAATTTGTAATATTTTTATTTGCGATATATATAATAAATTAATTAAATATATTTAGAATTTGTTTTAATAATTTAATTTTTTTATATAAATAAATTCTAAATATATATAATACATTAATTAATATAATTCTTATTTCATCGGCAATTCATCATATATTCTTTAATAATGGATATATATATATATATTTATTTTTTCATTATATATATCGAATATATATTATAAATTCATATATTAAAATTAACATACATATATATATATATTAAATAGATATATATATTATCAATAATAAATATAATTAAAACAACTTGAAGCCAAGGGGGGGGGGCCGAAAGCTAGCGCTCCAGAATGGGAAAGTAGAAGGCAATGAAGTAGGAAAAAAACACGGCGCTCTTTTTGGAGGCAGGGGTGAAGAATCCTTTATATGTGGCTCTTTGCCCGGATCCTCCTGCGAGAGAAGAAAGACGGAAAAACGAGAGACAGAGAAGAGAAGAGAGAGAGAGAGAGGAAAGAGAGAGGAGAGAGAGAGATGAGAAAGAGATGAAAAAGAGATGAAAAAGAGATGAGAAAGAGATGTAAGAGAGAGAGATATGAGAGAAAAAGATAAGAGAGAGAGATGAGAGAGAGAGATAAGAGAGAGAGATGAGAAAGAGAGATGAGAGAAAGAGATGAGAGAAAGAGATGAGAGAGAGAGAGATGAAAGAGAGAGATGAGAGAGAGAGATGAGACAATAAAACAATGAGACAGTGCGGCCGCAAAATACGTAACGCTAACCGCATGCCAAAGAGCGACGACAAGACGGAGTCGAACTTGCGAAGAGGGAGGAAGGAAGGAGAGAAGGAGGGAGGAAAACAAGGAGGTGGGGAGGTGGGGAGAGGGGAGGAGGGGAAAGGGGCGGAGGGGGGGGGGGGGGGGGGGTCTTCGACCTGAAAAATCAGGGGTTAGGATTTGCACCCGGTCGAAAGAAATCTTGCTATCGCAAGAGTAACTCCAGCTAGCTTCGCTAGCTTTCGTGATATAATTACATAAAATATTCATTAAAAATATTTCTATTTGTTATTTATAAACAAATTTCCTATGCATTCAATATTAATAATATTATAAATAAATATATGCATTAAATATAATATATCTAATATTTCAACCTATTTTATAGATTTCGTTTAAATTATTTAAGAAGAAAGAGACACGAAAGGTAAAACGGCAAGAACAAAAATACAATGTTCGATATAATAATTTATCCCCTCGGAGTCGACCTTTCGTAAATATTTGTTCATATGCATTCTAAATGTTCAAACATATGCTCTCGAAATGTTCAAAAAGATTCTTAGAAAAACAAATTTGCCCCATGGCTCAGATCATCGGTGAGCATTGAATCGGAACATCATAGGATTTAAATTATCCTAAAACCATAAGAAACTCACGAAGACGCTCCCCCCCCAAAAAATTGACGTGCTTCACAAAACAAACTCTAGGTATGTATCCCCT